GTCGAGTGTGCCCTCCCTCTTTTTGTCCCTTTGCAGTTAACAAAGCTCTCGGACTATGCGAGAACCTCTCGCGGTGCACCCATCACTAATCTGCTACTACAGTATTTATTATGTTGGACAAGAAAAGTTAATTGCAAAAAAATTATTTCTTTGCACCATGAATACATTAATATTTTGGTGTCAACCATTTTATCTTCTTGATCATTTTTTTTTGTCTCACATTGTCATATCATAAAAAATAGCATATTCCAAATAATCTCCTATCCAAACACACGTGCTATTTCTTTTTCTTTTTTTTTTTAAAAAAAAATTTATACATGGCCAATTGATTAGAAGTTGGACACTCGGTAATTGAGTTCATGAAAAAATGTCTATATCACAAAACTTATGTTTATTAAGAAGTTTATAATTCTCCAAAAAATGTTGCACTATAACTATCTTTGTTTACTCTCAAAATTTAAAGCAAACTTCTTTTTTTTTTTTTCAAAAAAGTAATTATTGTCATTTTACTATTAAAACTTGATTGTCATTACAAAAAAAAAAATTCAGAATAACTTTTTTTGGATTCGTTATTATTAAGAAAAATTTTTTGATTACGTTATAAAATACACTTTTTCAATAACTTTTTTTTTAAAATTTTTCAACACTTTTTTATTTTGCACCTATCACATTGTAAAAATTTTTCCAAATACTCTCTTCTATGCAAACACACTCATACTTTGCATCATAACAAAGCTTTTTTCTTACATTCTTTTACTTTGTTGTCTTATGTTAGTAAAACCCTCTCATAGTCTATATAAAACAAAATTAGTTTAATTAAAATTAAGCTTTGACGTGAAAATACACCAATTCAAAAGTGGTAAAACAAGAAGACAAGCTATTTAATATTTATACTAATGACTACTTGTTAGAGTGGTCTTTATCAAGTTTGGAATCGAATCTTATACCCGAAAATTGAAGGTGAAGACACACACACACATATACACGTGTGTGTATATATATATATATATAATATACATGTATATGAGAAATTATCGTAAATATTTATTTTTTTTTTGAAACTATCGTAAATATTTGTTTTGTTTATGGGCATTCAAGAAGTTAATAATCGGACTTCTAAACCCGGTGTCCCCGAGGAGAACAGGAAAAGACTTATTTATCCCTATCCCTAGCCTTTCCATCTTCAAAAACATTCTATACCCAATACACACTCCACCATTTCTTGCATTCATATCCCCCCGAAGAAAAACTGTTGATGTCCCAAAATGTCGAAATCCTCAGGCAATTCTACGGCGTCGTCTTCGACTTCTTCTTCGTCAACGACGACGTTGAAGCCCGAAGACTACATTCACAGTCCAGTCCACTATGCCGTAGCAACTGGCGACCATTCCAGTCTCTCGAAAATCGTTTCTTCTTTACCGCGACTCACCGACCCAACTCGTGTTCTTACCGAGTCCGACTCGCTCTCTCAAGAGAAACTTGCTGACCAAATCTCCGCCGTCCTTGACCGCCGCGACAACCGCCACCGAGAAACTCCCCTCCATCTCGCCGTCCGCCTCAATGACGTCTTCGCCGTCCGCACCCTCGCTGTGGCTGGAGCTGACATTTCACTCCAGAATGCCGCCGGATGGAATCCGCTTCACGAAGCTCTCCTCCGCCGTTGCTCGGAGATCGTGATAACTCTCCTTCAGCACCATCACATGTCCTCCTGGTCCAAGTGGCGCCGCCGCCTTCCCCGCCTAGTAGCCGCTCTCCGCCGAATGCGTGACTTCTACATGGAAATCTCCTTCCACTTCGAGAGCTCTATCGTTCCGTTCATTGGAAAAGTCGCCCCTTCCGACACCTATAAGATCTGGAAACGCGACGGGAATCTCCGAGCAGATACTTCGCTCGCCGGCTACGACGGATTGAAAATCCAGCGCGCTAATCAAAGCTTTCTCTTCATCGGAGACGGCGATCAAAGCCTCGACATTCCTTCTGGTTCACTGCTCGTCTTGAACCACGACGAGAAGAAAATTTTCGACGCCTTCGAAAATGGTGGGACTCCGTTGAGCGATGCCGACATTGCCAGCTTCTGCAATCAAACGAGCGTGTATAGGCCTGGAATGGATGTGACCAAGGCAGAGCTCGTTAGCCGTACTAATTGGAGACGGCAAGAGAAGACAGAGAATGTAGGAGAATGGAAAGCTAGGGTTTACGAAGTGCACAACGTGATTTTCAGTTTTCGGTCACGAAAAATCACCGCAGTCGATGGAAGCGAGCAAATTCTACCGATAGACTTAGAGCTCGACGAGGATTCGGAAGAAGGATTTCTGGTAGCAGAGAATCCGCGGTTTAGTGTTTCCGGCGATGATTGGCAAGCGAGAAGGCACAGTAGCTTCGTGAGGGATGAGCGGGAGCGAGTGATGGTGTCAAGGAAGAGTGTGGATATCATTCCAGAGACTAGGAGGAGGTTGCCGCCGTCCGCGGCCGCTTCAATATCGTTAGCGCCGCCTCCACAGACGAAGGAGAAGGAGTACGTGAAGAATTTACGGCCGTTAATTTGGTTAACGGAACAGTTCCCGTTGAAGACGGAGGAGCTGCTGCCGTTACTCGACATCCTAGCTAACAAAGTGAAAGCCGTTAGGCGGATGAGGGAGCTCCTAACGACGACGTTTCCTCCTGGCACGTTCCCCGTGAAGGTAAACGCTGCTAAAGGGCAAATCTGTCAGCCACATCTTTAACGGACCCACATGATCTGTTGTCTTGGAGGCTTTAATTGTGCCTATTAATTAATTTTCGTTGAATCTTACCAAAAATTTTTTTTTAATTTTCCTTGAAAGCGCTAATCATCGGTTTTTGAATTTTGATGGAGCTGCTGAATTTGCTTTATTTCTTCTTTTGATGCACAAGTAAAAGACCTTTAACATACTTGAACCCCGGAGACAACTGAAGCTTTTGTCGGACCCACTTGCATGATGACGTGTGCTCATTCTATGGGGTATCATCTATCTTGTGGGTCCTAGTTCCCCGACAGTCTGAAGGATTTTATGTGGGGCCGACTTTCCCAATCTGGTTTGTGTTCAATTTTGGTTTTACAAAATCGGTTCAATACAGACCTATGCGATTCCTTTAACTGAAAATTGATTGGTTTGGTCCAATGGTTTCTGTTCAATTTTGGTCTTACAAAATCGGTTCAATAAATATAGGCCTGTGTGATTCGTTTAGCTGACTGTTTCGATTGATGATTGTACTGTACTGATCCAATGGTGGTTGGTTGGTGTGTCATTGGTGGGGACTGCAGGTTGCAATTCCGGTGGTTCCAACAGTGAGGGTGGTAATAACATTTACCAAGTTCGTTGAGCTGCAACCAATTGAACAGTTCTACACCCCATTCTCGAGTCCTAGACATTTTGTTAATGGTGGAAGAAGCTCTGAGGACGATGGTACAGAGAGTAATTACTACTCATCATCATCCACATCATCATCGTCATCCTTTTCATGGCTATCGAGGAGCAGCGGTCGGTCAAGTTCTACGGGGAATAAGCAGCAGAATGGCAGTTTGTGTAATGGTGGGCAGCAATCAGACCCATTTGCTATACCAAATGGATATAGTTGGAGTAGGGTTGAGGAGAAAAGTAGGAAAATGAAAAAGTCCAAGTCTACTAGAAGAGCTAAATGAGGGAGGGTAGAATATGCATCTGAAGATACTCATGGAAACACCTGAATATGGTTTTATGGTTCTTGATTTGAGGGAGAAAAAAGAAGAAGAAGACCATATAGACTTATTGTTGTAGATGGATTATTAAATCACAAGGGCAGTCAAGTTGTTGGACGAGGAACAAGATACTACTAGCAGTTCCATGCACTAATGTGACCAACAACTTTGCTGAATGATAAAAAGGAAAGGAATGGCATGCTTTTCAATGCAGCAACCTCATATCACAGAGCGCTACTTTACTTGACCTTGAATTCTTGTTCCTAATGATCATTCCACTTTTGATTACAATGATAGAGTATGTTGTTGTATGTCTTGCATGCTTTTCTGACCATTGGAATTTGGGACTTGGAGGAGGTGCCACTCACTGCTGTGATAATTCAAGCCCCAGGTATGAATGAATGAACTCCAAACTTATGTTCAATATCAAAGTACTCCTACTGTTACCCTACTATTGGAAAGGGAACAACCCAACTCCGCCATCGTGAATAGGAGAGAATTAAACCAACCAAAAAGGACACCGATTGGATTTGGAAAAATCACGTAGAATGACGGTTGATGGCAAGTTGAGCCCAATATCACGTATCATCATTGTTTGACCAAAAAAGGGAAAAAAAAAAACGTATCGTCAATGCTGAGAGTAGATCTACGACTTGCCAAATTGTATAAGTCAACTGGTCATTGTAAGCTGATGATGGCCGTGGGTGAACTGAAGATAGCCAGCCTATAATCTCTGTGAAATTCACATAGGCTTCCAGGTCATGTTTACGAGAACAAGTTGAATGTTTACTTAACAAAATTAGTAATCGAGGTGTTTTTTTTTTCTTTTTTCAAAGCACCATACCACAAAACAAAAAATTTTTTTTTTTTTTTTTTGGGTCAAGCACTAAGTAGGCAAATAGTGATATATTCATATTAAATTTTGAGACGTAAACATTAGTCACATGGTATCATATAATATAGTATTTTGGTACTCACTAAATGGACCATTTGTACTAACCCAATTTATCCTATGTTGGGGAATATCAAATGAAAGCAGCAAATCAGAAGAAGCAAGAGGCATCCCCCACTGTTTTCAAATACAAAACAGGGCCATTAATTATGCCCAAATGGTGGATACGGTTGGTACTATTGCTACTAATAAAGTAATATAAAGATTAAAAAAAAAGGGAAGGGGTGGGGGGGGGGGGACAATGCCGTACAAACTTTGCTTCAAGAGATGGTAATTCGTGAGTTGGCACGTCTTTTTTTTTTTTTATAATAAAAAATAATAATAAATATCGGACAAATTACGAGCCAGCCTATCCACATGCAAAGATACAACCTCCCCACTAAGCAACCTACGATTTAAGGCCTAAATCTCTTCATCTTCCCGTAAAGCTTTTCATCATCAACTCTTCTCGCTTTCTTCTTCATAGGATAGGAGGAATCAGCAGCCCTCCAGATTAAAGTCCAAGCAAGGTAATTAATTCCCTTTAGAGTTTCTTTCTGTATATCTTTCCAATTCTTCTCGAGATCTTTGGATCATTTTAGGGCCTTCCTCTTCAACTTTCATTACTATTATTATGTATGTATCTTGCAATTCATTATTGGCTTCAGTACATATATATATATATATATATTCCATTCAGGAAAGCAGAGGTTTAGGTTTATCATGTACTATCTCTTCTTTCCTCAATAACAAGCCTGGTGTCCGGATGCTAAAGACTTGATGACCTGATTTTTGCGCAGACTTCATTTGAATTCTGTGTTTTTATTAGATCCAAAAAAGAAAAAAATGGCTACTGACGGACCGAGCTGGGCAGATCAATGGGGTGCTGGAGGAATTGGTGCCATGGACGAAGGTGACGCCTCCGCTGCAACCAAAGACGCTGGAAATAACAAGAAACCGGCCTCAGGATTCAGTAGAGCCAAATCCATAGCCGCTGCTGGCGCGCAAAAGCTCAAGAGCAGCACCTCACTGAGTTTTAAGTGGGTCAAGAACAAATGCCAAAAGAAAAACTCTTCCACTTGATCCAAAGGAAAGTGACTCCTTCTGCATGCAATCCTGCTTTAATTCTCGACCTGGAAGCCAATCAAAATCTCTTGTAATCTTGTAGGCAACTTTATCATCGTCATGTTCAATGTAATCAGCAGCCCCCTTTCACTTTATTCTTGCGATATTCCTTTACTTCCGAGGCAGAATTTGATAAATGTTTTTGTGTGAAAGACTGGGGCAGATGCCTAACACAGTTGCAGGAAACGAGAAAGTAAATTAACACCAACTTCACCTACCGCGCCCAAAACCAACTGGGGTGGTTGGAGCTTCAATGAAACATGAAGGTAAGCTACCCTTTGACGCACTGGTGATTTGCACTGCTAAACCATTATAGTTTTGTCCTCCCAACAGACTGAAAAGGGCTGCTGCTTATCCAAAAGGCAGTTACTGCGTCAACCTTTTTTTTGTTCATATGCATAAAACACCAACTCTCTGGCGGGTCCGTATACGTTTTATGCTTTCTTTGCAATGCAGAACAGACAACGCAGGAGACATCAAGACAAATTGATATTAAATTCAATGCTATCCCTTATATATGTATATATATTAGGTAAATTCATTAAGACAAAGTGTAATCAAACATTTCGAAAGGAAAGAAATGATGCAACTGATCCAATTTAGGCAGAATCAGACCGTAGATAACAAAGTAAAGCATGCAAGACATTTGCCATATGTAGGGGATAGCGGGAATTTACACTTCGGACTCTATTTACACAACTTGGATGTCACTGCACTTCAGGGAATCCGAATGTGTTCTCGCCGCTGTAAGTCATGTAAAGAAAACCATCTTCATCCTTGTTTTCCTCATAAATTGCAGACATCAGAGCAGCTGTAAGAAACAGACGTTACTCACTGAACAGCTTAAGACAAGCGCTAGTAGTATCAAACATGAAAAAGAGGAGAGCATACCAGTGGGAGGGAGTGTGTTCTTGACAAAAACAAATATAGCCTTCTCAGCACTGAGCTTGATCCTTTTCCGGACAACGTAAACAAACTGGCCAACAGTCAAGTCAGCAGGGACAAGGTATCTGCATGCAAAAGGTAGGATGGACATGAGTGGATAATCGATGCATAAGACTGAAATTATGTAATATTCACTACAACAACGAGGACTGATCTTTGGAAGTGATAAATCCAAGTGATTTCCAAAAACAACCTTAAGACTATTCACTCATGTCAATACAGGATTATTTACTACGTCCAACTGTTCACTCAGGAAATACAAAGTATAGATTTCAAACTCCACAAGCGTGCAATGATTTCTCAACTTCCCATAATTTTTTTCCCTAATTACAGCTGTAGGAATCAAATGGGCCAAATTCAGCAGGCAGCATGGAAAATGCAACTGGGCGGGGCTTAAAAAACATCTTCTACTTTATCCATTACACTAAGGACTAGAGAATATAAAGCAGAAAGAACAATCAAACATTCAGTTTGGCCATATTAAACAATTATTAAGCTGCCAAACTTACAAAAACTGCCCAACACGTATTTTCAGGCAATCAGCAAATCCAGAAAAAATGCCAAGAGCATTGATGTTTTCTAGGAGGGACTACATGTTTTTCAACAACTTATCAGGAAGAACTACAGACCTCGCCGTTCTCAAATGATATGATCATGATCTCCTTTTAAAGTTTGAGATGAATACAAACAAGCGTCCCAATGGTGAACATATTACTGTTAACCACAGCTTAAGCTACATTCAAAGCAACGAAAGTACACTGCTCATCATGGACCATATAAAGTGAAAACAACCAGCATCAAAATTGTGTCTTAAATTCGGTTATTGAAAAAGAAAAGAACAAATTCTTATTGTTGAAGAAGCATCAGCAAAGATCTTGCATAGGTGGTTCGAGAAATTTTCTAACCGAAGACTTAAATGGCCTAGTCATCAATGCTGAATGAAGATTGCCCATTTTTGTGATAGATTACATTTAATGACCTAGTCATCAATTCTGAATGAAGACACTTCAATGCTTAAACTGGGAAAACAGGCACATGCAATGAAGGGAACAAAGGATAACATACTTCTTCTTGTCAATGTCAGGAATATCACTTCTTTCAGCCTTCTCAACAATCACCTGTATTCAGAAAGGCTCGAAACTATACATTACTTATTGCTATAAAGCCACAAATCACCAATATCCTGTATTGACCAGACAAAAGATCTTACCGGAATCCTATCAGGGTACTTCTCTCTGATGCGAGAAGACTCTGCCTGCCTCCTTTCTGACATACAGAAGAAAAAGATTTAGTTAACAACAAAGTCAGAGTTCAATCCTCCAATTTAAAGACAAGGAACACATAGAATCAGATAACCCAAGAAATTTGAACTTCAATAGAGTTGCAATAATTTCCTTGAAAATAATATGAGAACAAGTTTACAAAACAACAATGAACGATGATTACATAGCAGATGCATATCTCTTGCTTGTGAGGCATGCAATAGCCAAGAAATTAAAAGAAAAAACAGAAGGTTAAAAGTAAGTTGAGGAAAAGAAAAAAACAGAAGGTTAAAAGAAAAAAAATTTCCTTTTCCATGCTTTCTGAACTATATATATTAACTATACTACCAGCTAAAAACCTTCATGGATTAACTTTATTCATATTTCAGCTGCTATACCACAACAGCCCTGCGACATACATTTTTTCCAAAATGGACAAGTAAAAAGAAGGAAGAGGAATGAAGAGTTCCCAATCCCCATTCTCCAATTAAGGAAAACAATAAACTTCAGGTAGTTAACTTAAAAAAGATAGAAACAAAATTTATAGCTCTGAATTATGTTCATAACCGAGAAACTTCAGTTATATGGAAACAAAACCCTATGTCAAATACCACTCTTGCCACTAACTAGGCCAGTGATATACACCTAGAATAATCTTCACAATATCCACGAAAGCGACTGAATGTCAAATTAGTAGGATCGATGAATCACAGCCAAACTAAAAAAAAAAAAAAAAATCATCAACGTAGCACAAACCCATTATCACTAAAATCAACTACAAACAAATTCGTCGGCTTCCAAAGAAATTAATAATTAAAAATAAAAGTACTCTTCGAACAAAGACAAGAATATTTACCCAAGGGGTGTTCAAGCTTGAAGGAGCTCTTGGCCATGGTAGCAAGACTCAAACTTTGATGATTTCTTACTGCAAATCTCAAACACTTAAACAACATCACAAAAAAATCCACAAAACTTTTCGAATACCCACATAAAAATAAGCCCAGTATAGCTTTAAATACATCAGACAAATAAACTAATAAAAATCCAATCTCTATGATTTTTATTCTCACGAAAACGGAGAAAACAGGCTACTTACGCAAAAGGGTTTCTTTCTCACTTACCGAAGAAGAGAGACAAAAGGGCTTTTGATTGATGAAACTATTAAGTAATTGGGAGGGCTGCTGTCAAAATTCAGAAAGATAATCTAATAAAATAGGAAAATCAGAAATTTCAGCTAAATACAGGAAGGGAGAATTAGTTCAAAATAAATAAATAAATAAATAAAAGAAAAAAGGGATAAATTGGGATTTGGGATTACTGAACGTACTCACACGAAACCGACTAGAAGTTTCGTTTTAGAAGGAAACTGACAGACTCCGGAAGATTTTCCTGTGTATGACTTGGATTGGAATTTGGAAGAAGATGATACGATGTCGTTTATGGAGAGTTAGCCGGTCAGACGACGTCGGTGCTTTGTCCCCAGATTGAGTACCATTTTGCTTTTGCGTGCTGTGAAATTGTCAATTCAATGGTCTCGGATTCAAGAAACTATATATGTATGGTGGGCCAAGGCGATAGGTGATAACTTGGGTGGGAAAAATTTTGGACTTGTTCTCAACTAATTTTGATTGGGAAATTTGTCAAATTGGTCCCTAACATTTACACAAAAAACTTTTTTAGTCCCTAACATTTAAAATCAGCCAGAATAGTCCTTAACATATAAATTATGATCCATTTTGGTCTTAATGCTCGTATTTGCTCATTTCTCCGACTAAAAAATAGCACGCCTCTCTCACGTGGGTATATTTTCAAGGGCAAAACTGAAAAACACAAGCTTTTCTCCCCTTTTCAATGACAACATTTTCGCATATTTTTCTTTCCCTGTTCTGAAATTAGGGCTTTTCTCCCCTTTTGCTTCTGGTCATGGACTCTTTGCTATCGAGCTCCGCCTCTTTCGATGAAGAACAAAATCAATAACAAGAAGATAAACCACAACTCTCAAATCCCAGGTGCGCTGGATTCCTCTTCTCGCTGCCACCCCAAAAATCTTCATCATTTTTTTCATCCTCATCCATCTCCTTTCCATTTGCCCCACCCTAATCCCACCCCCCAAAGCCCCCCGTCTCGTCGTCTTCCTCGACCCTGAATCCACATAAATCTAATAAACTTCAAGAAGAGAGGGGATGGGCAGCAATTGCTAAAAAATTGAAAAGTTCGAGACTTTTGGCATCGCTTGCAAAACCATCGTCATCTTTGTTCGCTTCGCTTTCTCAACCCAAATCATCTTCCACGTCATCTCTTTTCTCTTCTCTTCCGCAGCCCACCAAAACTCACAATCTTGATGCCCGGGTTTCGCCTCCAATACAATCTACTAGAAAGAGGGTGGTGGTGGTTCCTTGGTGATCGGATCACACAGTTTTAACGGAAAGGTGACAGAATCAAGCTCGCCGGGTTTAATGGTGGTGGTTCCTTAGGGGATCAACAGCAGCAACCGCACTGCTAGGGGGATCAAGCCTCAAATTGACGCTGGTGCTTTTCAGTTTGAGGAGAATATACCGAAGTGGAGGCAGTAGAAGCTTCAATTCCACGTTTACAATGAAAACAATAGTATTTTCTAGTTTTGCCCTTGAACATATGCCACGTGAGAGAGGTGTGCTATTTTTAGTCGTAGAAATGAGCAAATACGAGCATTAGGACCAAAATGGATCATAATTTATATGTTAAGGACTATTCTGGTTGATTTTAAATGTTAGGGACTAAAAAAATTTTGTGTGTAAATGTTAGGGACCAATTTAACAAATTTCCTGATTTCATAAAAGTTGACTTTGCAAAATTGATTCTTGAAAATTAGACATTTAAGTTATTTTAATAAATGCTTAAGTATTCTC